CCCAACAACCCAAGGAAGTTAGAGGCTGAAACTAACTCAACTATAGCAAAGAACTTTGGGAAAAACAAGCTCTATATCTTCTTTATTTTTCTTCTTTGCATGATTTTTTTTTGCTCTCCATTAAAATTCTTAATTTAATAATAATGGAGACTAGTGTCACATGCTGTGCAAGAACAGCAGCTCTTCTCCCAAATGTTTCTTCTCAACATTCAACTTCACTTGCTGCTCCAAGGTCTATTTCTCCTTCATTCAGCTCCAGGGTATGTCTTGATTTTCATTTACTCCTCTATGTTAATTGTTACTATAGGAGTTAACAATATAAAAGAATTTTTATATAATTGGGTCACCTAAAAAATAACAAGTAAAAATTCATAGCGGAATTAGTGACCTGAAAAATAAGGCAAATTACATGCTACAACAGATTAAATACATTAATGGTGCAAAAATTCTTTATATTGTCATCATATATAAGGTAAATCCTTACCATAGAAACGACGTAACTAGGAAAAACACAACCTTGAATGTCATAACTAGTTCTATACAAAGTATATCACCTAAGTTTTGTTGAAGAAAATTTAAACATAAACTGATATGCTATAATTACAACAGCAACAACAACAACAACGACAACGACTCAGTGTTTTCCCACTAGTGAGGTTTGGGGAGGGTAGTGTGTACACAGATCTTACTCTACCCCGAGGGGTAGAGAGGCTGTTTCCGATAGACCTTCGGCTCAAGAAGGCAAAGAGTGACAATATATCAGTACCATCAATAAAATCATAAAAAGAAATAACAGCATCACAAGAGCACAGATGAAAAGCAAAACAATTAGCAGCAGATAAAGCCCGACACTAACAGGAACGAAAGAGTAATGTAAACTCAATATTAACCACTAGCAGTCTAAGACAAAATCCTAACAGATTAGCCTCACTCTGGTGCGTCGTAGAAATATGCACAACTGCCCCCTAACCTACAATCCTAATACTCGACCTCCACAACTTCCTGTCTAGGGCCATATCTTCGGTAATCTAAAGCCCTGCCATGTCCTGCCTGATCATTCAAACTGATATGCTATAACTATTGGCACAAAATTCTTGCAGAGTCTGAAATCAAGCTCATTATTTGGGGAATCACTGCGAGTCGCGCCAAAATCATCGATTAAGGTTTCTAGGACCAAAAATTCTTCCCTGGTGACTAAATGTGAGATTGGTGATAGTTTGGTAAGTTTGATCATGTTGTTGGTTATTCCATTTAAGTAATTGTTATGCATGAAATTGATGATAACAACTAATGAATTGGTCTATTTATAGGAAGAATTTCTTACAAAATCAACCTCAGATAAGGGGTTGATTAGGCTGATGATGTGCATGGGAGAAGCAATTAGAACAATTGCCTTCAAAGTCAGAACAGCTTCTTGTGGAGGAACTGCTTGTGTCAATTCTTTTGGAGATGAACAACTTGCAGTTGATATGCTTGCCGATAAGCTTCTCTTTGAGGTAGGACAACATTAAATAAAAGAACTATTCGACATATGTGGTATTGCAGACAGTAGCGGAGCCAAGAATTTTAACAAGAGAATTCAAAAAAAATGCAAGAACGCCATGTTTGAACATATGACCAACAACAATAACCTAGTATAATTCCACAAGTAGGGTCTGGGGAGGGTAGTATGTATACAGACCTAATGGCGAAGCCACATAGTCATAAGGGTAGTCAGTTGACCACCCTTCCTCGAAAAATTGCACTGTTTATATAAGTAAATATTATATTGTAGAGTTTTATAACACATATTGAATACCCTTTGTCGGGATTTTTTTTTCACTTCTTTCAAATTTGAATACCCTTGGAGAAATTGCTAGATTCGCCACTGTGTAGACCTTATTCCTACCTTGGTGGTAAAGAGGTTGTTTCCGATAGACTCTACCTATGATCAAAAACAATTTTTGAACTACCTGTGACTCTATATTTGAAGCTTTCCTCTTGTCAAAGGGATTCAACAATTTGCATATATATACAAAAGAATTTGTTTTTACTCTACTTACATGGTATAATTTTTGATAAAGGGGATTCAGTTGAACTCCTTCCGGTACATGTAGCTCCGCCCCTGAAGACAAAAGTACTTTATGCTGCTTGATAAGCAAATCCCCTGTTAATTTCCTGAAAAGCAACAACAACAACGACCCTGTGTATTCCCACAAGTGGGGTGTGGGGAGAGTGAGATGTACGCAACTTTACCCCTACCCTGGACGGAAATTTATCGAGAGGACTTTACCAAAAAAGAATTTGTTCTTTTTGATTGCAAACTGAGACTCTACAATGTTAATTATTATCTATGTTTGACAAAATTTTCTCCTTTTGATTGTTGATGTTTAGGCCTTGAGTTATTCACACTTTTGCAAATATGCTTGTTCTGAGGAAGTTCCTGAGCTCCAAGACATGGGTGGCCCTGTTGAAGGTTGGCAGATTATATAATTCGGAACTAGGAGTACTTGATTTTCCATATAGAAACATAAACACTGATGATTCTATTTGTGCCAAAAATTAAAACAGGAGGATTTAGCGTTGCATTTGATCCACTTGACGGATCCAGCATTGTGGACACAAACTTCACAGTCGGAACCATCTTTGGTGTTTGGCCCGGGGATAAGCTAACCGGGATCACAGGAAGAGATCAAGTAGCAGCAGCTATGGGGATATATGGACCGCGAACTACATATGTTCTTGCTCTTAAAGATGTTCCCGGAACCCATGAATTCCTCCTCCTTGACGAAGGTTTGAATATGAATAACAGTTTACTAAATGAGTTCTATATATCTGAACATTCAACCTGTAAGACCTTAAGGCAACGGGTGAAGTGACCGACGTATCTTTTGTTCGTAGGAAAATGGCAACATGTCAAGGATACAACAGAAATTGGAGAAGGAAAAATGTTTTCCCCTGGAAATTTGAGAGCCACATTTGACAATCCTGATTATGCCAAGGTTTGACAATCATTTTTCATTTTTTGTTTCCAATTGCTGATATCTGTGCTCAGATTCAATGTTTGTATAATCTGTCTTTCTTATACCTTTTCTTTTGTTGTTCCCTTTTTCAATTTCTTTTTTTTTTTGTTGGATAATTGTGTAACTGGTAAAGTTAACGGGTTCGAACTGTGGAAACAGCCTCTTGCAGAAATGCAGGGTAAGGCTGTGTACAATAGACCCTTGTGGTCTGGCACTTCCCCGTGCACCGAGCTGCCCTATCTGGATAATTGGCATTCTTAGTTGCTTTCGCGCTTTGACTCTTGATTCTTGATGACAGCTGATAGATTACTATGTCAAAGAGAAATACACCTTGAGATACACTGGAGGAATGGTTCCTGATGTAAACCAGGTATTTTACTTGCGTACCTATAGCCTAAAACGTCATTTTGAAGTTCGTAATTCATTCTTGAATTTTATGCAGATAATTGTCAAGGAGAAAGGTATCTTCACAAATGTGATATCTCCAACTACCAAGGCAAAACTGAGATTACTCTTTGAAGTAGCACCATTAGGATTCTTGATTGAGAAAGCTGGCGGTTACAGTAGCGATGGTAAACAGTCGGTTCTTGACAGGGTGGTCGTTAATCTTGATGATAGGACTCAAGTTGCTTATGGTTCCAAGAATGAAATTATCCGCTTTGAAGAAACACTCTACGGATCGTCTAGGCTTAAGTCTGCTGAAGCAGTTGGTGCTACTGCTTGAGGTTTGCGCGCAACACTGTCATAAAGTTGTTGGTGAGGATTTTATAATTCCATTAGGGTACAAATTAAAGGGAGATAGGTTAAGATCCACAAGGCCAAACCTGTGGCAGAAATGGGAATCAAACAGTTTCTTTTTTTCTGTATCTTTTACCTGGTAAGTCTTTGTTTCATTGGATCGTGTCTGAATCTCCTAAAATGCTGGGATTTCAACATAAAAGACGAAAACAACAAATGTATCGTATAATCTTTTTATTCATAACTTTATGCTGCAGAAAATGAGGCCGAGGACAGCAAAACATTTCTTGGAGTTAAGCTTTTAAACTTTTTCCTCATGAAAAATATAAACTTCTATTCAGTCAAGCAACATTAGCATTCTTAATGAGAAGCAAAGCCACTGAACTCACCTAAACTAAAAAGCAGACGAGGCAGAAGCACCAGATTAGACATATGGCTAAGAACCTTAATAAATTTCAAATTTAGTAAGTTAATGTTCCTGTTTGAACGTAGAAGCTCTACCTCTTTACAAGAACTACCCTTTGGCCTAACAACAAATGTGCGAACCTTGATATTTTTCGCTTTGGGCCAAGTTCGGAGAGTTTTCTCCAAAAGGTCTCACACCAATTAACCTAAATAGCAGCTCACTCAATTACTTAAACTAAAAATAGCCAGTAAATGTATAATATATGTATGATTAGTGTATAATATAGGTATACCTGCTAGAAAAAGTAAACAATGAAATTGAAAAGCTATGTGTAAGATCCCTGCACCTTATATGTAGGCCCTCAATTTTTTCAGTTACCACTTACCAATGTGGAACTTTGTTCGCACACCTAGCATATAGTCTGGACAAGTCTAAATGCTGAAATCGTCCTAGATTGTCTGGTTACTGTTTCCATGCCTCAACAGGGGAAAAAGAACGAAAAAAAGGAGCATAATTTTTATTGTATATACAAAACACAATTTAGCAGCATTTTCCTGTAATAGCCATTTGTTAACTAAAAATGAACTGCATTACATGTTTCAATTTTTAGGTAATACTTATAAGATCCAGAAAGACATAATACAAGTTAAAAAGGATAAAAAAGTGAGAGTATCGCGCCAGGTAGGGGTCGAACCTACGACTTTCTGCTTAGGAAACATACGCTCTATCCACTGAGCTACAGGCGCTGGTGTTGTTATGCTCATTCCTTTAATTAATGCCATTTTATACGCGTCTTTCCACCAATTGATTTATACTTCTGTGTCTTTTTTCCGTCAAGTTAATTGGAGGAAAAAGACTTATGAAAATTGAATAAGAAATTTTCCTTTGTTGCAAATAACCCTTTTCGAAAGCATAATATGTAGCTACGGATCCAAAATTTAAAGTCTGTGGATTCTAACCTTTAATGTTTTAGCATTGAACTCATTATATTTTTCAAGTTATCGGTTCATAACTATTATTTATTGTTATTTTAAATTTTTTTACATATAAGTTTATACTACACGTCGAAAGTAGTAGGTTCAGATAAACCTTGTATCCGTAAGTTGTATCTGCCCATGCTTCTAATTAAGCCCGGGTGAATACTCGCAAGCGTGCCGATATTTTTTGAGAACTTCTAACTTGAGTATTATGAAACCCTACATTTCATATTGTAGTTGTATTATTTACATGTTACAATGTGGGTTATAATGTTTTCCTCTCCTTTATGAAAAGCTCTATATTATTCTTAAAATATAAAAACTTCTCAAAATTAATTCAGTGTTTTTTTTAAAAAAATATTACTGTTAACAATTAAATTATTATTATGAAAGTAATATAAGAGGATGCATCAAACGAGCTTTCCCCCTGAGATAGTTGCGTGATAAAGTTATACAACTATCAAGGAAATCCATAGAATGTAGAAGTATTTCAAGGAGGAAAACCCCCTTAATTTTATGTAGCAAAAGTAGTCTATTTCCTTTTCTATTCTTTTTATGTGGTTAACATTTTCGGTTTACATTAGAAGTCTTGTCTACATATATATGTGTCGTGCCTTGATATGGAATCTCGTACAAAATTGAATGTCTTTTTCAAGATTAAGACTTTGCCCTTAAATAACTATATACCGGCTTAATTTGTGCAAAGTTTTTATACTATTAGTGTAATTTAATATATTATATTAAATTACTTTATTTTTCAAGTTGTCATATCAAATTTGCTATAAATGAATTACATGTTGCGGATAAATTAACTTGATCGTATAAAAAATATTATACACTATCCGTGCATAAAACTTCACTCAATAACTTTTAGTAAAAGATATTTTTGAAAACGGATCCTTCAATTCGTTCAAACTCCTCTAAGATTGGCCATACTGCGATAGCAGTGGAGATAAAACTTTTTCTACAAGCCGTAAAAGAAGTGCTGCCCCAGAAAGAAGAAACATAGGAAAAAAAAAATACAAACAACAATAACAAATTTAGTAATTTTTTTACAAGTGAAGTCTTGGAGGTTAATGTATACGTAGATCTTATCCATATCTTATGACAATAAATAGTAATAACGGGAATAAGAAATAGCTTGATTTATAATTATTAATTGAAAAATAGTCATAATTTCAAAAATAATCGAAATTTAATCACCCTTTCATGCAAAGATAAAATCTGAACAAAAACACCCTTAAAAATTCGGAAAAATTCCAGCATAATATGCTCGAGTTCGATTTTTTTGCATATGAGATTCCAGCAAAATGCATGTGCTGGAATTTCATAATGTGTTGGAGTTCCAATATAATATGTTGGAGTTCCAATATAATACGTTGGAGTTTATACACATGAGTTCCATAATCCGGCATATTATATTAGAACTTTCCGTGTTTCAGCTAGAATATTTTTGCCCAAATTTTATCTCCGCATAAAATAGTAATTATTTTTCAATGACTTTATAAATACTAACTATTTTTCGAGTATCAATCTGAAAGCTGGCTAGTTTATGTTATTTTTACGTAATAACGACTAGATATTAAGAAAATCAAAGCTAAAAATAGAAAAATAGGAAGAAAATGAGAGGTTTATTTCTGTAGTGCTTCTCACTGACATAAAAGTGATTTTGATTGGTAAACCACAACTTTAGTAGCAGTCACACTAAACCTTAAAACCAACAAACAGAATAATAGTTTAGAAACATGCAACATGTATTATAAAAATTGTTTATCCAATCAGTAATCGACAACACAGTATCCCTAATCGATGTATCCTTTTTATATAATCATATTTTTCTCCACTCTCCTCCTCTTCCTTAGACTATATACAACTAAAATACTTACAACCACAGACACAAAATTCAAGTATCATTTCCACTGCCAATTCTACTTGGTATTACTCATTTTCTTATTTTTCAAACTTATGTGTCAGTTATTTTCTATTTTTTCTTGCTTTTGTACTCAAAAAGATAGGAAATTAAAATTATAGAACTTTTTTTTCTTTGTTGTGGTGATTTTATGTTTGGTTTGTTAGGATCATACTGTTGTGTATATGGTCTTAATTCATTGCATTTTTTCCTTTTTTTGTGGTGATTCATTGCTTTTACTCTTCATTTCTTAAATATTTTCTTGCTAGTGCGGCCAATATTTGGGATCATTGTCTGATTTTTCCTAGTTGTGCTTAATTTGCATTTTTCTTGTTGCTTGTTATTGAAACTTGTGAGTGTGTAGGGGTTTATGTTTAAGTTGTAAAATTAGCTGCTTTTTGCTAATTTTCCAAGATGCTTTTGATCCAAAAAGTTGGTTATTTCTTTAATTGAGGAAAGAGGTATACTTGTTCCAAGTAAGCTTAGAAATGTCTTTTTTAAAGGAGTCTTGGCGTAACTAATATAGTTGATATGATGAGGAGGTCATGAGTTCGAGCCATAGAAATAGCCTCTTGCAGAAATACAGGGCAAGACTGCGTACGATAGACCTTTGTAGTCCAGCCCTTCCCCGGATCCCGCGCATAGCGAGAGCTTAGTCCACCGGACTACCTTTTTGTGTATCATAAAATTTTCATCTTTTACCAAAAACACTGACCATCAATAGCACTTACTATTTGGGAAATTGACAGGAAAATTATACTCTTTTAAGTCCAAGAAAATTGAGGATTCTTGCATTGGCTTGTGACTCTGAGTTGTGGAAATGGAAACTTTATTTCCTACTACTTTTATGCCAAATTCAAATTGGATGATGCAACAGAGCAAAAGCACAGAATGGACTAAAGAAGAGAACAAGAAATTCGAAAGTGCACTTGCAATATACGACGAAAAAACTCCGAATAGATGGTCAATGGTAGCAGCTATGATCCCTGGGAAATCAGCACTTGATGTGATGATGCAGTACAAAGAATTAGTTGCAGATGTTAGTGATATTGAAGCTGGATTGGTCCCAACTCCGAGGCATTTCGCTTCTTCTTTTACGTTAGAATTCGTCGATCATCGCGAGATTCATACGTTTAGAAAGAGAGGCAAGTCTTGTGATCAAGAAAGAAAGAAAGGTGTACCATGGACAGAGGAAGAGCACAGGTGCGCGCATTCCCTTTTCAATTTCTACCTTTTAGTGTGTTTGGAGTTATGATGCTCGGAACCTCCAAAAAAATGCTGCCGGGTATGCGTGTCAGATATCCTCTAAAAGTAATGATTTTAGAGGATCCGACATGAATATGCAAGCATTTTTGAAAAATTCGAGCAAAATAAATTTGGACCTTCTTTATGCACGTTTGACTTGATGCAATAAAATCTATCAAATAGAACACGTAATGTAAGTTTATATTTGTTCCATTAGTGGCGGAGCCAAGAATCTTAATAAAGGGTTTGAAAATATAAAGAAGTAATATATGAAGAAGTCAAGGAGATTTAACATCTATTATATGTGCATTAAAAATAATTTTGACCGAGCAGAACCAGACTCAATAAGGGGCGGGGGGAGGGTTGAAAATATAAAGAAGTATACGAAGAAGTCAAGGGAATTAGACATCTACTATATATACATAAAAAATAATTTTTGACCTAGTATATATAGTAACATAATTTTTGGGCGATTGGGGTTCAGATAAACCCCTTGCGCCCCTGGCTCCGCCCATGGTTCCAAGAACCTAATTAGGTAGTGATTAGCATGCTATATTTCAATTTCCCCTCTTGCTTGCTCTACATTTGTCATTTGATTGTTTTTTTTTTTTATGTTAATAGTAATGTTGTAATTGTATTATAGGCGATTTCTAATGGGGCTTGAGAAGTATGGTAAAGGAGACTGGAGAAACATATCAAGGAATTTTGTGATCTCTAAAACTCCAACACAAGTGGCTAGTCATGCTCAGAAATACTACCTAAGGCAACTTTCAGGAGGGAAAGACAAGAAGAGACCTAGCATCCACGATATCACCACCGTTCATCTCACAGTCGACGAGTTGCTCAACAACAACAACAACAACAAATCAATGTGTGACGACACATATAGTGTGTCCCCATTGCAGAAATCAACGAGCACAGGAGATGTACTAATCGGTTTCTGGAACGATTCAAATGATGAAGCCCTCATGACTTATGGTTCGATGTATGACAGCTTGGTATGATACGACTTGAGCTTAAAGAAAGAAGTGAGGATTCATATAGCCGATCTCAACTTGTTTGAGACTGAAGCATAGTAGTTATTGTGGTTTGATCAGAACCCTCGATCGATTGTCTATTGGAGGATGTTGAACTAACAGTGCTAGTTGTATTTTGCAGCTCCATTGTTGATCAAGTGAGGTTGAAAAGAAAATGTCAATATTGGATTTTGTTTGGAATCTTGAAGTAATGTAAAATGTAAATCAAGTTTTAGTGTGGTATATGCCTAGTTTCTTTGTTGTGATTTCAGACTATTACACATGTAAATATTCAATCATTTCTCCTGAATGTATCTCTTCTTTGATGTGATCACAAACATTATTATCTTTTTATTTTCAGAAGTTACTGCATACATCAGTGGAAGCAGGATTTTCATTAAAGGGATTTAAATTTTTTTCTGATAAAGTAAACATGCGAAAAAGCTAAACGAATTTAACATCTAATATATGTATATGAATTTTTTTTACCTTATATATACAATGTAATTTTCGAACGAAGGAGACTTGACTGAATCCCTTCCGCCGACCAAAGTAAATAGTAGTTCCACTTTTACTTGGTGCAAGGGTTTTTCTTTTAATAAAGGGAGAAAAAAAGGGGAACCCCTTGCCTTGTATGTAGGTGCATGTATGCATTATGCATTTTTTTTCTATTTTTAAAAGAATTTAATTTCTATACACTAAATTTATATAGTATTTATACTACCAAGTTAAGATGATCTACAATATAGTAGTTGTTCATAATAATCCTAATTTGGTACCCTAAAATCACGTTATTATAGCAGGGGCGAAGCTATATTCTCATAAGGGGTGTCGAAAAATTACACTATATATATAAAATATTAGGTTTTAGAGTTATATACTAACATATATTGAGCACTGTTTGTCTAAGAATTTTTTTCACTTCTTTTAAGTTTAAATATTCTTAAAGAAATTTCTGGCTTCGTCATTTTATTTTAGTGTTAGCATACTGTATACTGTGTAAGTGTATATAAGTTATACACTTTTCAAAATAAGTAGAGCACTACGTACAAGATATTAGACAAGAGCCATGTCTCTAGAACCTGTGGCAGAAGTTAGCCAATTCAGGCTGTGTCACTTTAGCACTATTTGAACATCTTATTGGGAGGTTGTTAGTACTTTTCTTGTTCTTCTCTTCTTTTTCATTCTTGTTGGACAAAAAAATATCTGCAATTTGGCCAAGTTGACTGATTTCATATCTTCCTGATTGCCTTTTTCAGGATGCTGCTACTCCTGCTGAGTCTGCATTCCACTTATTTCAGAAACTCGCATAAAAGTATATCCAACGTGAGATTAATTTTGTTAATATTTTCAATTTCGTCCTCTTTTTTCATATTGTTGCATTATAAAGTTGCTCCCCGTTCCACTTTGTTCATTCAGCACGAAATTTCAGAAAGAAACGAATATCTTTAAAGGTTGTGGCCTCAGTTATGCCGAAATATTGTGTGATTATAAGACTTTAAAACTTATAATTTTATATATATTTTAATATTTGTGTGACTATAAAACCTTCTCATTAAAGAAATGTAAGTTATATTATTATTTTCGAAATGAGCTAATAAGGAAATAGCCTGAATAAAGTTAGTTTTTTTCTATTCCTTCCCATAACTTTTTCATTTTTATATATTGCATTTCATTACGGTTGATTACTTTGCGCCGAGAGTCTTTCATTCAGAAATAATTATTCTACCTGCACATTATCTTCCTCGTGTGAGATTATATCAGTATGATGATTGTTGTTGTTTGTTGTTGCTAGCTATATCATTATAGGGAACTTTTGGTGCTGTGTGTACATGTGGGTGGAACCCTTAAGTCAAGATCCGTTTGGATCTCTAAATCTTGACTAGTCCCACACAATCTCTAACTTTCTTGACCCTTACTCTCTCTATACACTACTAATGTAGTAATTATTAAAGGCCTTTTCAATTCCTTTTATCCTATTTGTATTACGATTGAAGATCTCACTCTCACAGTTTATACTGCAACGGGAGGTTATTGTTGAAATTAATATGTATAGTATGGAGTTGTACATAAGCAATGATGTTTGTACATAGTTGATTAGAGTTGGTTTAGCATTAATAGTTAATTATATATTCCTTCCGTTCCAGTTTATGTGAACCTATTTTCTTTTTGGTCCGTTCCAAAAAGAATGAACCCTTTCTAAATTTGGAAACAATTTAGCTTAAACTTACAATTCTATCCTTAATGAGAAGCTTTTATAACCACACAAATTCTCTGGGTCCCTTTTTAACTTGTTTAGGACCACAAATTTCAAAAGTTTTCATTTTTTCTTAAACTCCGTGCCCAGTCAAACAGGTTCACATAAATTGGAACGGAGGGAGTATATGTTAGAGGAAGTTAGAATAGAGAATATATAAATGTAAAAATTACACACGTGTATGGTATGGTGTAATAATAGAAAAATTCTCCAGAACTTTCCACTCTCTCTCTCTGCTCTTAGCTCAAGGATCAGATCTCCTCCTCCTTTCAATATGGTATCAGAGCCATAGATATATGGTGTTTTACGAGCTGATCCCTTGAAGAATCTAAGATTAGCATAGATAAATTCACTCAATCTTGTCAGAGAAGTGAGAGATTAAGAGTATTCATCAGAAATTTGGGGAATTCACCTAGGGTTTGCGATTGATTTCAGAACTCGTAAATTCCGGGAAAGAGAAAGGTTTTCCTTGAAGATTGATGCCGATTCAAACTTAGAATCACTGATTTCAAGCCTCGACGATGACGAACACAACTCTTGAGACCAGGAAGGACGATGGAGAAAAATTTACGGACACTCATCCCAGGCATCCTCTATACTTACACCCCTCAGACAGTCTAGGTAGCGTGCTAATTCCTCAATAACTAACAGGAATAGAAAAATTATACAACTTGGAGCAATTCTATGCGAGTAGCTTTATTAGCCAAAAATAAACTAGCGTTTATAGATGAAAAATATCGGAAAGAACAGTATAGTGGTGATTTAGAGCATGAATGGGGGAGATGTGATACCTTTATGTTATCCTGGTAACTAATTCAGTGTCTAAAGAGCTAGAAAATGGTATAATGTACTCAACCAATGCTTGTAGTGTTTGGACAAACCTAAAGGAAAGATTTGATAAGAAAAATCTAACTAGAGTTTATCAACTTCTCCGAGAAATTTGTACCACCAGCCAAGGAAGTTTATTAGTGTGAGAATATTACTCAAAACTGAAATGTGCATGGGATGAGTATTGGTCAATGGTACCATTGCCATGTGATTGTACCAAGTATAAGGAACATGCTGAACACGTGGAGCAACAAAGACTAGTACAATTTCTGATGGGTTTAAACGAGACATATGCATAGGCAAGGAGTCAAGTCCTATTAACTGTCCATGTTCCCACTCTCAATCAAGTATACAATGTGATAATGCATATGAAAGCCAAAGAGTGCAATCAAACATGATATCTCAGGTAGCACCAGCCATGCAACAGCTTGATTTGAATGATTCTACAACATTAGCCTCCATTCAAAGTAACAGGTTCAGAAAGAACAATGGAAATAGTGCATTGCAATGTGACTATTGTCATATGAAGGGTCACAAGAAATAAAATTGCTATAAGCTGGTAGGATATCCATCTAACAACAAGTTTAACAAAAGGAGAACTTTTGACAAGGGAAATTCAAGAGGAAGCAGGGGACCTACAACCAATAATATGAGCTGCATTGATGAATCTGAAGGAACCAGTTCAGTAGGTAGCTCATCAGGAGGGCCAGCAACATACCATTTTCTACTTCAGAACAGTATCACCAACTGTTGAAGCTAATTGACAAAGAACCTTCAACAACAGATGCAAGAGCAAACATTGCAGGTATAGCTGATCTCCTTAATGCATGCTTATCTGTAGGTTCTGAAACTAATTTCTGGGTCATAGATACTGGAGCTTCGAATCATGTAGTTTCTAGCTTGGACATCTTAACTGAATCCCATTCTGTTGCCTCTAACTCTAGTAAAGTACATTTGCCTAATGGCAACACTACTTCTGTAACTCATACAGGATCATTAACTCTTTCTAATGACCTAGAACTGTATAATGTTCTTTATGTCCCTAACTTTAAATACAACTTGTTATCTGTCTCAAAGTTAACTAAAGAACTGAAGTGTTGTGCACTATTCTTTCCCGAATTCTACATTTTTTAGGACCTCTACAATGGCAAGGTGAGGGGGATTGTAAGGAGAAGGATGGAATTTACATACTTCAACCTACAAAGTACCTGAAACACCTAGCTCCTTCTTTCAACTCTTTCATATCTTCAGCAATTCCAGCTTCTATTATTCCAGTCCCAGAGTCATCTAATGTCACATCAAAATCATGTTCACATCCTTCTATTTGGCACCAAAGACTTGGTCATGCTCCAGTAGCAGTATTACAACATATTCCTTCATTAAAGAATCATTTGTTGAATAAAGACAGTCTAAACTGTATTGTTTGTCCTTTAGCAAGGCAAACTAGATTTCCTTTTCCTACTAGTACAAAGAAAAGTGTATGTCCTTTTAATCTTATACACATGGATGTCTGGGATCCTTATAGATAATGTACTTACAATGGATACAAGTATTTCCTTACTATTGTAGATGATTACTCAAGAATGACTTGGATCTACTTGATGAGAATGAAAAGTGATGTCTTCCTTTTAGTCAAATCTTTTCTTAATCTTGTAAAAAAATTAGTTTTCTACCACAATTAAGATCATAAGATCAGATAATGGTCTTGAATTCTTCAATTCTCAGTGTTCTACTCTTTTCTCATCACTTGGGATTTTACATCAAAGTTTTTGTGTGCATACTCCACAATAAAATGGAGTAACAGAAAGGAAACATAGGCATTTACTTAAAATAGCTAAAGCCCTTAGGTTTCAAGTTCATGTACCATTAAAATTCTGGGGGAATGTGTACTAACTGCAGCCTTTCTTATTAACAGACATCCATCTTCAGTCCTATCTGGGAAATCTCCTTATGAGTTTTTTCATGGACATCCTCCCTCACTTGATATTATTAGAGTGTTTGGATGTCTTTGTTATGCAACTACCTTACATAACACTGACAAATTCTCACAAAAGGCCATGCCTGCTATCTTTATGGGTTATTCTACCTCTCAAAAGGGTTATAGATTATACAACATCTTCATTGGGACTTTCTTTATCAGTAGGGATGTTTCTTTCAGAGAAATAATGTTTTCATTTAAGTATCCTAAATCCACATTCCTACATACTCTATCTTCAAGCTCATCATCTACATTTCCTATCAGTGATCCAACTT